TTCTAACAACTGATCAACAATGTGAACTTTGATAAGCAGTTCTCGATAATCAGTTCTCAACAATTATTTGTTATTATTAAAGTTTAACATTATAAATTTGACAAAAATAATATAAAACTCATATCTTGGCAAAATAGCCACATGGCAGCCGAAAACTGTATATTCCCTTCCCGTTCTCCCACCAGTCCCTTCCCATTCTCCCACCGTTCCTAGCTTGTCGTGCATTCTTTCCAAAAATTAGGACTGTCCCGCCAAAAGCAGGACATCTGGTCACCTTATTCATGATAGCATGTTCACCTCCTGGATGGCCATGATCTTACCAACCAGGTCAGCACACAGCATGGGGCGAGGTGAGGTGGGGTGGAGGAGACCCCGTTTATTGCTAACCAAGGCTTATCTATCTTTTTAGGGGGTGTGATTTACAGGTAACCACACACGTCACAGGAAGGGGCAGTACAATAGGCATACACATCATAGGAAGGGGATGTACAATAGGCATAAGCGTGACGGGAAGAGGATGAGCTAGGTGTGTACATATGATAGGAAGGGGTAGAACTAGAGGTATACATGTGACAAGGGCGGACCCTAGACTCAATATGGCAGCCTAACCTTGGTCACCCTTGAGTGGGCTTGTTCCTTCAGGGAAACAATGTACTACTATCCTTATCAGAAGGGAGTGGGCCATACTTGTGGGATAAACAGTGGTGACTGCTTGCTCTAGATGGCTGATAACCCTTAGGGAGAATAGCCCCTGACCTACTTCTGTTGACCTCCAAGTGGATAGTCATCTACCATGTGTAGCAAGCAACTAAGTTTGGCATCTATTTGGGGGAGACAACTTGGGAGAAATCTTTCTGTTTCCCACAACGCCCCCTTTTGTTTTATATATAAAATTCAAAAGAGCCACAGTGGCTACATGATTATTTTCTATACATTGAAAGCTGTCAAGGCAAATTTAATGACCAAATGAATATAGCCCCAAACTCAGGCTCATGGAAAGCATTTTGAATCCAGGCTTGGGGGATAAAGCCCCCCTATTCCATCCACTATTGGAGGAAGGTATGAGAGGGGCTGGATGCCACGACGGGAAGAAATAGACCAAATAGGAACATCTGCTTCTGTAGGGAGATAGAATCAACCATGTGCTCACTTTAAGGCAGCACAGCTTTAAAGGGAGAAACTGTGGAAATGACAGGTTACCACAGGAAAATGTACTTGGACTATATCTCCAACTACCAGAGTGACGGCTTTCCTACCATGGAATGCTGGCCTTCCAGATCCCTCCGTACCAGTCAGGAAATGAGTCCCAGTCCTAGTTCCCTCAGTGGTAGTTTCTCACAAAGCATGATGTCTACTCCAGGGACTGGTCTCTCCTGACAACATGTCCAACATATCCGAGACAAAGTCTCACCATCCTTGTCTCCAAGGAGCATCCTGGCTTTACTTCTTCCAAGACAGATTTTTTTTTTTTAGCAGTCCATGGTACTTTCAATATATTTTTTTTTACTTTCAAGATTCTTTACCAGCACAATTCAAATGCATCAATGCTTCGTCGATTTTCCTTATGCAGTATTCAACTCTCATATGAGGCGATGGAAAATTCCATGGCTTGGGCTAGGTGCACCGTAGACCTCAAGTGACTGCTACCGTATGTTCAGAAATAGCTTAAGCTACAAGGCTGTTTACTGCCTGCTGCACACGGAGTCTGGACACAAGCAGTTCTAGAGTTCAGTCAGCACCTCGGTCCCACCCATCCTTTCCCTCCACGGCCTCTAGCATTGGGGGCTTTCCTCCTGGCTTGCGACCTCCCCATCTGCAGATGCTGCCATCACGCCAGTACTAGGGCTCATGCCAGCATCTGAAGGAAGGAGCGAGGGTGAGACCAGAGCTTTCTTGTCTAGAATCTTTGTCTCCCATCTCAACAGGCAGCCTCCTTACTGGCCAGAACTGGATTACACTCTAGCATCAGACGGTTCACTGGGGAGAAGAGCTTGCTGGCACTGTTCCGACCAATCCTGCTCCATCCCGTGAAACTGGCACAAGAGCCTATTTTTTCCTGAACCCTGGCAAGGAGGGCATTGGGTGTGAGGACTGGAGCAACTGATTAATAGCACCTGCTTCAGGTTTAGGACATGGATGCACACCATACAACATGGGAATCCTTTGGGGTAGGCTGATGCAGAAATTCCAGGGGCAGGTCGATGAGTTGGTATAGATCGAATCAATGGCAGTGAGCTTGAATTTGACTTTGTGTCATCACTTAATGTTTAATATTTCTGCTTGAGAAAACAAAATGTGTTCTCAGCACCAACAAGAATGTTGGGGAGACACTTTCAGTCTAATCCAACATACATGTACTGGAATTCCCAAGACACTTCTCTTGGAAACAATACTGCACATTATCCCACCTTTCTTGAACCCTCTAGAAGAGGCTTCAGGATTTTTATCAGAGAATAGATTATTAACAGAAATTGCCAGGTGCAGTCATGTGTACAAGGGACGGTTAACCAAGCGCTGACTGCAAAGAAGTCAGAGAACATTTGTTTCTTAGCAAGAGTGGTCTTGACAGCCACCCATCAAGGTGGCTCAGAAAGACCAGGTGACTGTGGGCAGTCACAGATGGTGAGTGGCAGAACAAGGTGTCGGGACTCAAGTCCAGAGCTCTCCCCGGCCAGCTGCTGAGACCACGTCAACAGTATGGTGCTGGGGGCTCCTGGTGCTGCTGGGGGCTGCGTCTGAGCCTGGGAGGGTGAAAACTTACTGGGGTGGGTGCAATGGTGAGATGCAAATAGTTTAACCCCTGGTTTGCTGCCCTGATGATCGTTTTAACTATAAAAAAAGTTATGCGGTAAAATTGTTTATTATTTCATTCAGTTGTGACCTAAGTAAGAATAAGAGAGGTGCACAAAACTAGATTATAAGAAAGCGTTTTCAAACATTAATGAAAAATATTAAATAATACCTGACCCAAAAAACAATAAAAACTGTTATTGAAGTATTTCATATTGCTTCTTGATAGGTGTCCTCACTTGCAATGTTCTTTGATTCTATCTGAGCCTCGTCAGCTTGTGTGATTTGTCCTTAACCATTGTCTCACTGTCGGAGCAGGATTCCAAACCTTTAGAGGAAGGCCAATGAGACAATAGTCGTGTGTTTTTTATATTAGAAATGGGCGACTTCTCTCAACATATTCTATTCATCTCTGGACAACCTCCTTCTGCTTCTGCTGAACTTGCAGCAATTGTTTTGACAGTATTCTTTGAGCTCTTTGAACACTTGGGAATTGCATCATTTACTCATCATATCTCCTGGGAATTTGGGGCTTAACACAAATCTGCAAGGAATGACAGCATGCTGTTTGGCGTTTTTAGGCTCTATGTTTGTTTACTTAAATAACAAATGCAAGGGAATAAACATGTAGTATTTCATCTAATATATAACAAGTTTTATGAAATGAATAAATAAATATTGCAAACATCGTTCCACCATAATTTTTCATACCCATGGACAGAATGAACATTACCGCGGGTGCTGGGAGCTCGCCTTTGCACAGGTGAACACTGGAATAGCGTGGGTGATTTCCACAATCGGGTGGCCGCCCACCTCAGAAAGAACCCTGTCTACAAGTGCCATTTGCACAACTGGTTCACTGAACTCAACAAAAAATCAGGTAGGGGTTTTGCTGACCCCGCTGAATCCCCCACTGGGTGGGTCTGTGGTTGCTGGTCGGACTCACAGCGACCCGTGTACAACAGGGGGAAACTCAGCCAGGTGCACCCCATCCTCTCAATTGTGGTCAGGTTTGAGCCCAAGGTTGCTACCCAGTGGGTAGGAGTGGAGGACCAGTGTCCCAACAGCTCACGGGCCTGATGCTGTTGGGGAGGTGCTGGCTGTCCCTAATGTCCTGGGAGCAAGCAGGTCCCTCTCCAGAGGGTCAGTCCTTCCTAGGTACCCGGGACAAGCTCTCAGCCAGGCACCCAGCAGGATCTGACCGTCCCCTAAGCCAGGGGTTAAAGGGCCTCCGGTCCATCCCAGCCCCGTGGGGCTCTTGCTCTCACTGTCCTCAGGGGCAGGGTCCACCGGGCCCTTGTCCCGGGTCCGCAGGCCAGCGCCGCAGGCCCAGGCTGGGCGCGCCTCCTCGTCGGCCTCCGGCCACAGGCGTCGCTGTGCGCCCGGGCCGGTGCGCGCGGAGCCGCAGCGCGCGGAGCTGGGCTTTCAGTTTCTGGCGCGAACTTCCGCCGCTCCGAAGTTGCACGGGGGCCTTGGGGCGATGTCGGGGGACAGCAGCGCCCGCCGGCCCGAGGGCCGCGGCCGGGGCCGGGACGCGCACCGGGACCGCGCCCACTCCCGCTCGCGGTCACGGTCGCGGTCGCGGTCGCCGGGGGGCCGCCGCGGTGGCGCGCCCCCACGCAGGGAGGCCCCGGCGTACCCCAGCCTGGACGACACGGACCCGTCCGACTCCGGGGACGAGAGCCTGGACCCGGCGATCCTGGAGGTGGAGACCGACCACGGCCTGTGTCGCCAGATCCGCCACCAGTACCGGGCGCTCATCACCTCGGTCCAACGTAAGGGGCGCGGGCCGGCCGGTCCCGTGTGTCCACGGGAGGCCCCGGCCCGCGCTCGGGCTGTGCGGGCTTCATTTCCAGATTCGCGCCGGTGGCCGCGCTGCGCGCAGGGCCGCGCCTTCGCGCGCTTACAGGGTGGTCGCGCGCCCGCCTTTATGCTGCCCTTGGGTGGGAGCAGGATGCCCACGCTGGAGGCCAGACCAGCGGCAGCGAGCGGCTCGCCTGCTTGGGGGCAGCTAGTGGCGGGGAGCGCTGGACGCCGGCACCTGTTCCTTGGGTTGCATCCTGCGACCTTGGACTTCTGGCATTAAGGCAAACCTGCCGAGTCGGATCGGTGTGCGGGGGTCCCAGACCCACCCAGGGGGCTCGCCAAAGTTTGAGAAACGCCTAGGGAGCACTCAGACTGCAGGGTCCTGCCTTTCGGAGCCCACTGAAGTTCATGCTGCCTTCTGCTGGACCATTTGGTTAAAATAGTAGAGGGTAAATGCTTTGGGTGCCTTCCCAGGGAGCTGAGTCACCACGCCTGGATCACCTGATCCAGGATTGTATTGGTGCCTGACTAGCACGTTTCCCAAAGCCTGCCCTTTTTCTCCTTGTAAACATAGAAAACCGAGAGGACATACTGAGTGCCGGGGACAAATTAACAGAGGTCCTTGAAGAGGCCAACACTCTGTTTAATGGAGGTAATGCGCCCTTTTGTGTGCTGGGAAGCGCGTTGTCATACCACTTGAGGCCATTTTCATTACTTTGTCTGGAAGACAGAGATCACTGATGTCAGGAAATGGGTAATGATGCTTTTTTACCAGCTTTGGAACTTATCACTAACGTCTTCGTTATTCTAGTGCTGCTGTACAGAAATACCACTGGTGGCTGGCTTTATTTTATTTTTATGGGTGGCCGGCGTCAGCAAACAAATTTATGCTCTCACAGCTGCAGAGGCTAGAAGTGGTCACTCACCACTGTGCTAGGTCTAGAAGGCTTTGCTCTCTGTTGGCTCCGGGGGAAGGCTCTTGCCCGCTTTTAGCAGCTTTGGACCGGGCATTTCTAGTTACTCTCCAGGTGCCTTGTATCCATCTTCCTGAGTCTCAGAGGCTCGCTCAGCTCAAGGACTTCTGGCTCTTGTCTTGGAGGCCTGGTGGCACCACCACGGCTAAGCACTACCCTGCCTGGCACTCCAGGGAGACCGATGAGGTGGTCAGCTTCTGGAGGGCCTTGCAGTCTTGAAAACCCTTGGGGTCAGTTCCACTCTGGCCGGGAGGGCTGACTGTGATGCCAGGGCCGCTGGTTTGGGTGTGGGCCCTACTTGTGTTGTCATCTGTTTGTTTCATGATGCATCTGCTGTAGCCCAGGACAGGCCGACCTTGTCTTTCCCTCCCCCTTCTGGCCTTGTCCTAGTGCGCGTCACTTGACTCCATTTCAGCCACACTGGTGTGTTTTGTTTTATCTTGTCTTTACAAATTGAACGTTTGTGACAACCCCGTATCCATCAAGTCTTTGCTGGTCACTTTCCACAAGCATGTACTCCATGATTCTGCGTCGCATTTTGGGCATTGTCACACTATTTCACGCTTTTCTATTATGCTATTGCATGTGTAATCGACAGTAATATAGTGTGAGTGTGACTCTTCTATGCACCAGGAAACCAGAACAGCCTCGCAATTTACTTTTTTTTTATGAAACCAATCCCACAAAACCTCCGAGGCCTGCCTGTGTGTGTGTGTGAGAGAGAGAGAGAGAGAGCGAGAGCGAGAGAGCAGTTCGGTAACAGGGCAGAGTGGGGGTACAGAGAGAGAGAGCAGTTCAGTAACAAGGCAGAGTGGGGGTACAGAGAGAGAGAGCAGTTCAGTAACAGGGCAGAGTGGGGGTACTCCCCGATAGGAGTTCTGAGTCCCCAAGCCCAGGTTCTGAGTCCCCAAGCCCAAAGGCAACTACCCAGACTACATTCCCGTCTGGGCCTGCTAATAATTCCATGGGATTAGAAACGGAAACCAGAAGAGGCAAACTGAACAGTTGCTACCCATCGAGTGCGTCCTAATTCTTGGTGACCCCATGTCTACCCGGACTGTGCTGTGTCACAGGCTTTCAATGGCCGATTTCCCAGTGCAGACAATGATTGATGATTATTGATGATCTTGCCACCCACCTATTTTTCGTCAACAACAACAGTAAAAAAATCTATCCAACGGTCTGACATGTTAATGGTGTTGGCAGTACAGATGCTGAGGTCCGAAGCAAGAGGAGCGCTGGCTGTGATGATGAAGGTTGTGTGTCTGGCTGGGTTGTGATTCTCAGTGGTCTGGCATTTATGTAGTAGTGTCTTTGGCAGTGATGGATGTAGTCATCCTCCATTTTGTAATCTGGTGCAGTCACTCCGTTTTCACACCATTTTGTGGTGTGGTTGCGCATATTGACCAGTCTTTGGTACCAACCTTGCCCTGCATGGTGACGTGAGTGATCTGAAATGGTAAAAATAGAAATGCTTCTGCTAAATGGGAATTATTTATTAAGAGATTGTTAACAGGAATAGGAAAACTGAAATGTGAACTGTCCGTGGGGAAGGCTGGCCCACTTTATTCAAGGTGAGATTTTGCTGAGCTAGGTTGGGCCAGCTTCCAGGGGGAGAGGGATCTGTTTCCAGCACACTGAGATAATTTGGGGGCCAGTGGAAACCACCTCGTAAGTAGCTGGAAATGTAGGGAAAGGAGGCTGATGTATATCTCGTAATGTGTGCGCGTCCTTTTTGGTTTGCTTATATCTTTTTAAACAGTGTCCCGAGCAAGAGAAGCCGTCCTGGACGCCCAGTTTCTTGTTTTGGCTTCTGACCTGGGGAAAGAGAAAGCCAAACAGCTGCGCTCGGATCTGAACTCGTTCGATATGTTGCGATACGTTGAGACCCTGGTAAGTACAGATTCTTATTACAGCCTCGGTCAGTATTTTAGGACACTGCTTCTGTGCCTGTGCTAGTGGTGTTCTCTTGGCGGGGTTGGGGTCCTTCCCCCGAGAGCTTATAAAATTAGCCAAGTGAGAGGAGAGCTGCTTGCTGGTGGGATGGGGGGTGGCCATTAGGACACAGTCTGACATGACCGTCTCTCCCTTCTCTCTTCACCCTGCGTCCTAGGGCTATTTAGAGATGGAGATTCTCCACCTCTCACCCAGGCCTTGTTAGTTATTGGTTCTCAGTATTCTAGATTCTTCTCAGGAGCCTGAGACCTGGGCCCTGGGCTGGGCAAGAGCACAGCACTGCAGGTTTTAGGACGCAGCTGGCTTTCAGCTGGACCTGGTAGAGGCAGCGTGTTTTGGTCTGTCTTTGAGAATCGTTTAGAATCATTCCAAGATCGTTGTTTTTTCTCCTTTTATTTTTTGTTTTGTTTTTGCTTCTCGGTAAGCTTCGTAGTTGTTCTCTAGAATTTTATTACTGGTCCTTGTTGGCTTTTGAGCCATGGTGATGCAGTGGCTGGGGCACGCCACTGCTAAGCTGGAGGTTCTGACCCACCAGCCGCACTCCCTAAGAGAACGATGTGGCAGTTTGCTTCCACAAATATTGAGCGCCTGCCTCGCTCCCCTCGATCCTGTAGGGTCATGGCAGCAGTGGGTTTGGCCTTTTGGGGGGCTTGTGTGTGGTAGGTTTTACCCAAAAGCAGCACCCTGAGATGTCTCCCTCTGTGATGTTTTTTCTTATTGTTGTTTTACTCTGAGCCAGCCCCTGTCCTGCCACACAGGTAGTGTGTCCCTCCATGTGAATATAGAATTTCCGACAGGATGTTTATGTTAATTAAGTGCTTATGAAAATGGCCCGGTGTCCTGTGCTCTGGCCTGATAAAGTCATTCTTTTACATGAGGCGGATGAGTATTTCAATTGGTTGTTTTCAAAACCTTACAATTTTCCTTTTTTTAAAAAAAAACTTTTTCATGAAGTACGCTGCATTGAGAACAGTGCACACGGTCACACACTCTCCATACTGAAAGAGACCACAGATGGAGTTACTTTTAAATTTTTATTTTTATTCCCCAGTGGGGAAGGACCAGGAGGTGGGAGAGTGGAGGGGTGCTGAGGGTTCCCCATGAATCAGGATCCTGTGGCATCACCCCCCCCCTCCTTAGTGTGGGGGCCTCTTGCAGAGCTAAGCTCCCGGAGGTCTTTGGGGGGGTGGTTTATACAGGACGTGGCCGCTTCCACTGGCCAATGTCTAAGGACTTCGCGGTAGAACCATTCCACGTGTACTTCCACCAAGGTCAGCTCCATGGAAGCGAGGTTGAAATCAGACAGTTACTAGACTTCCGCCGGGCGCTCTCTGTGGTGCCAATATGACCCAGACTCAGACCCATGCTGAGTAGAGCTTTCTGGGGTTCTCAGATCCGAAAGGCCAGCTCTGCTTCCCAGTCTTGTCCTGGAACTGTGGATTTGGGATCCTCTTTGTGCTGGTACAGCTTTTAAAACAAACCATACTAGTGATTCACAACTTGCCCTGGGCCTTAGCTTTTTCAGGTAGTGTACCCAAACCCGCTTGGCCCGGGCACTGTGGGCACTTGGGACTGGCTGAGCCTCCGTGCCCTGTGCATGACATGTGGAGCAAACCCTGTCTCTGCCCACTCGGAGCCTGGAGTAGCCCCCCACAAAGGCGCAGGGGTGGGGGCGGCGAGATCATCTCGCCTCCCTCCATACCTGAGTGCCTTCAGGAAGTTTTTTCTTTTGCTCGAAAGAAGATGGGGGTTCCATTTCAGAGCAGGGATTTCTCGGTGGGGGGTGGGGGGTGTTGGTGGGTGGGGGTGGGGTTTAGCCAGCATGCTGGGCGGCCTTAAGCAGGCAGGCCTGGGTCGTGAAGCTGTAGTGGTGTATAAGGGACTGGGCTGAAGATCGCTGCTGGCTTAACTGGGGTCTTTTTTCTCCTTCACTTTTGTAGCTGACACATATGGGTGTAAATCCGCTAGAAGCTGAAGAACTCATCCGTGATGAAGATAGTTCTGATTTTGAATTGATAGTCTATGACTCCTGGAAAATATCAGGCAAAACAGCAGAAAACACCTTTAATAAAACCCATACATTCCACTTTCTGTAAGACATTTGGAAACCCCCCCACCCCCCTGTCCCCCATTTGTAAACCTGGAACGACTGCTGCTTGCTTTAGAGGGAAAGACCGTGCTCCGTAGTGTCACATGGACGGTCACGGTGTCGGCCTCACAGCCCCTAAGCTCCCGGTGGGGATGGACCAGAAAGGCCCCCCTGGCCCCTGGTTAGCAGGGAGGGGCCATGGGCCCCAAGCTCTTGTCTGGGCTCCTTCGCTGCCTAGCTGGGCGGCTTTGGATCTGCAGCATCATGGCACGGTTTGCCTTTGTCGCTTTTCTGATCAGGAGCCCTCCTGCTAGGATACCGGCAGAGATGGTACCCAGCGAGATGTGTGACACGGCAGTTCCTGTCATCCTTCGGCGTCACAGAAACAGCCCACTTCATTTGTTTTGTTCTTGGCTCATTGTGAAAAGCATTTCTTCCTCTTCAAAGGAAATGAGCTGGCCCGACTTCCTGCCACACAGTGGGGCGGGTGAAGGGCTCTCCCTGGTTCTCGTGTAGGACAGCCTGCAAGCACACCAGTGGGAGGCAGGGGTGGGAAACCTCGTTTCTGCTAAGAGCCATCAGGCTATTTCTAACATCATACTTGGGCTGAACTGGTCAAGCATGAAATCCATTCTTCGCTAATGTGGCCTGCTTCTCTTTGGGGAGGCGGTGACTTTAACTGGAGGGATGATTTCGAGGGCCTTAAATGGCCCTCAGGCCAGGCGTTCCAGCCATCCCGCTGTAGTCACCACCCCATTCTTAGTGTCACTTCCTCTGCATACAGTGTCTGCCCCCAGCCTTTGTTACTCCGAGTGAGCGCTGCCTCCTGAGTCCCCTGAGACTGGCAGCCTCTCCGTTTTAGGCTTTGGGGATATGGTAGGTTTGGGGGTGGGGGGTGGGCTGCACATCTGTTTTTAAAGAGCCTTCTGGGGTGACTGGTGCCCAGAACCGTAGCACATACAGGAACGACATAAGGAATAGGTCTCTGTGCTGCGATGTCCAGGGTCAGCAGAGAAAGTCCTCTGTGGTCGCACTTAGACTTCGGGCCATCACCCAGCCACGACGAAGCTCTAAAACCATGTCTCTGTAGTGCCTGTTCCGTCGGCCTACAGCACCCTCTTCCTGCTTGTCGTTTGCTGAGGTTCACTCAGGAGCCTCCAGTGGCTTCTCTAGACAGATCCAGTTCTTGGCCAGATCTCTCCCAATCCCAGGTAGACCTTTCTGCCCAGCTGCTCCCCTGGCTCTTGAGTGCTGTGGGTCAGAGCCCGAGGGGTCTGTGGGGAGATTGAACCGTTTCTGCCCAGTTACACACTGTGCTCTAATCCCTTCTTAGTGTCAGGGCCTGGGTTGACCTATAGTAGCCGGACCTTGATCTTGACATCATGTGTCCATGGCTCTAGTGCAGCTAAGTCTACTGGGGAGATGGGGGGTGTTCATGGTGGGGCAAGCCCCACAGGGAAAGGAATCCCATGGCCTGTGCTTGACACTTCGTCCTAAGGCAGGTATGCTGCTGTCTAGGCCCAGAGCCTTCCCCCTGACACCTGAGGCCCCCTGGAACTGTTCCGTTCCTCACCCGGCCTGGCAGCCTTCCTGGGTGTCTGAAGTTGCTGCCCAAAGTGGACAGGAGACTAGCTGGGGGGAGACTTTCCAGGCAGGGGCCCTGTCCTGACGAGAGCCAAGTGAGGGCGTCTGAGGGGGGTCCCTGGCTGTGTAAGCGCCGGAAAGGGCATTGAGGAAGACACAGGGGTCAGCCAGGTGCCAGCTACCAACTCGCTCCTAAGAGTCTTGGTCTGATGTTAGCTCTGTGTGCTAGTGGGGCCTGGTCTGAATCTCTCCCTTCTGGCGACTGCTCTTAGTGAACATAGTGTTTCTGAAACAAAGCAGAGCCATTTCTTCACTAGGTTGGGTTCAGTACAAGGCGAGCAACCTGTGCCAAAGCCACGAGTCGATCGTCCGAGACGAGTTCGTATGGTGGAGGAGCAGAGGGCAATGCCCGCCCAGGTTTGTAGCCTTAAATGTCAAGTTCCCATGTCACGTACGTGCCACTGTCTGCCTTACTGAGTCTTTGCCATGGCTGAGGGCCTGGGAGCCAGGTCCCTGCAATCGCTGTCTTTCATACTGCTGTTCCTCACTTGGAAGGAGCCCTTGTGGTGTTGTAGTTGCATGCAGGACCGCTCACCCAGTTTGAAATCGCCCACCCCTCCGGAGGAGACAGGTGGGGCTTTCTCCCCCCGTAGAGAGGGACAGTGAGAAACGCACGGGCAGTTCCATCCTGTCCTACTGGGTCACTCTGCGGCGGCACCCACTTTGGGTTTTGAGATCTGTCCTTAAACACTTTGATTACCTCATCTCTTAATTTGTATTCGTTCTTCTAGACCAGGGTGTCACCACCTTGGTGTCCCGGACATTTGGGGCTGGGTGTTCAGAGGATCCCTGGTGGCGCTGCAGGTCAAGTTTGGGGCTGCTCACCTCCTGGTCGGTGGTTCAGACCCAGCAGCCACTCTGCAGGAGAAAGAGGAGGCTGTCTGCTCTCTCAGATGACACCCTCAGGAACCTGCCGCAGCCCCGGAGGGTTACTCTGAGCTGAAACCGACTCCACGGCAGTGGGTTTTTAACTGTTTACTTTCCGGGGCTCTCCTGTGCGTGGTAGGGTATAGAGCAGCATCCCTGGCCTTGACCCCATTAGACCCCAGTAAGACCCTTCTCCCCTCCATTGTGACCACCAAAAATGTCTAAAGGGATTGGCATATGCCTCAAAGGGTTAGGGGCGGGGAATCACCCCCGACTGAGAACCATTGTTTAAAATGCCCCTTTTCTGTTTACATATTTCAACCTGAAAATAGGTGTTTGATTAATGTTCTTCACTATTAAAGAGCAGCAAATATAAAACTTAATGAAATGAGAACATCTATTTTTCATTTAAAGAAAGCAAATTTTAAGGGATGAAGAGAAACTGCTGGCAGTCCCAAACAAAGATCCTTACAGGGCATTGGGGCCACATGCCTGGGAAACCCTACTTGGGGTGGCTCAGTCAGCCTCTCTGATGGCGGCCGGTGGGCTGGTTGGGTGCCCAGGAAGTAGAGAAAGGCGGGCAGACTTGATAATGGCTGTATTTTTCAGTTAAAGAGAATGGAAGAATCTCACCAGGAAGCAACAGAAAAAGAAGTAGAGAGGATCTTGGGGTTGCTGCAAACATATTTTCAAGAAGATCGTACGTATGGCCCCTGGCTCACCCGAGCGAGCTGTGTTGATGAAAATGCGACCAGAGGCCCTCACAGAGGATTTGGGGAGGAAGGGCATTTTTCCCCCCTGTCTGTGCAGTTTGAATGTCTGGAGCCCTTCTTGACCTGGGCGTTTGCATGAGGCTTCTTCAGCGGCCCCACGTGAGGCTGTGGGTGGAGTACCTTTTCATGTGTTTTATTTTTTTACGTTTTTATGGGCACCTAATCCACATGTCATACAATTCAGTAGTTCAGTCGTTCAATCATATCAAGACCTGTACAGTCATTACCACAATCAAGTTTAGAACATTCTACACCACCCCCAATGGTTAAATTGCCTTTAAAATGAGTTCTGTTATCACCATCAGTTCTAGTACCCCCTCCCCGCCTCCTGCCTTCATTGTTTACTCCCCCAATCCCCTCACCCACCCTATCTCCCACTCCCACCCCTACATCCCCTGTCAACCCTGGCATCAGCTCTTATCTCCATGCATCCACTCCTGTGCTTCACAAACTGGGGGACACAGTAGGAACAATAAAAAACAAAAATCAAAGGGGCAAGGATAAAACTAATAAATTAAAGATAAAATCATGTGCTTTTTCAGAATTAAAAGGAGACCTGCCGTGCGAGAAGAAAATATCTGTTGATCATACAAGCACACATAAATAGATGGCTGACTTTTTCCCCTTTGTTGCCTTTTTCTTTCTTTTCTTTTTTTTTTTCTTTTTTTTTTTTTTAAATATTTTATTAGGGGCTCATACAACTGTTATCTCAATCCATACACACGTCAATTGTGTAAAGCACATTTGTACATTATTCTCAAAACATTTTCTCTCCACTTAAACCCCGACATTAGGTCCTCATTTTTCCCCTCCCTCCCCGCTCCCCCATCCCTCATGAGCCCTTGATAGTTTATAAATGGGTATTTTGTCATATCTTGCCCTGTCCGACGTCTCCCTTCACCCACTTTTCGGTTGTCTGTCCCCCAGGGAGAAGGTCACACACAGTTCCATGTAATCGGTTCCCTCTTTCCTACCCATTCTCCCTCTACCCTCCCTGTTTTGCCACTCACACCACTGGTCCTGTAGGGCTCATCCATCCTGGATTCCCTGTATTTTCAGTTCCTATCTGTACCAGTGTACCTCCTCTGGTCTAGCCAGACTTGCTAGTCTTTTCTTAAATTTTAATAATCATTTTATTGGGGGCTCCTACAGCTTTTAGAACATTTCGTACATCAGTTGTATCAAGCACATTTGTACATATGTTGCCATCATCATTTTAAAAATATTTTTTCTGTTTGAGCCCTTGGTATCAGCTCCTCTTTTTTCCCATCTTCCCACCCTCATGGACCCCTGATAAATTATTATTTTCATATCTTACACTGCCCGTTGTCTCCCTTCACCCACGTTAACTGTTGTTCACCCCTGAGGGTGGAGTGGAGGGGGGGAAGGAATGATACATTGGTCATTGTCAGTTCCCCGTTTCTCCCCGTTTGTTCTTTTTCAAAGCTGTTTGAAATGCACTCCATCTTGGGCAGCATGACTTCAGCAGGGACGCCCTTCCGTGTTAATGTGCATGACCCCAGAGAAACCGTGATCGGCGGGTCAGGCCCAGTAGAACTGTGCCCGCAGTGTGGGCAGGGACTATTGGTTGTTGCTGTGAGCGGATCACCAGGCTTTTCTTCTGAGGCACCGCTGGGTGGACTCCAACCGCTATCCTTCCAGGGAGTGAAAAACGGATGCCATTTCCCACCACAAACTTTCCGCAGCCTCTTCATATGTTTAAGTAATCCTCTGGTGATTGCTTGGTAAAGTACCCCCTGCCCCTCAACCAATAGTTGTGTTTCGATATCATTCATATATCATATAGCTTCCAAGAGCAATCGTATTTAGAGAGTTGCGAGTTATATATGCCTCACCACAAACAATGCCAGTTCATCTTCCCTCTTAGGTTTCACCATTTGCTTCCCAATTCCCTTCAACACCCCCCTGCCTACTTGTGCTGATATTTCCAAGGGACTCCTATTTCGCGGGGGATGGCCAAGGAGATGGCATACGGGTTTTGATAAAGAGCGGCAGCAGAGAGTCTTCCAGAATGGTCAGTTTATCGGCCCACAACGCTCTCTTTCCTACTCTCTGGCTGGCATTGGAGTTCTGGGCTTCACGTTCGTGCCAGCCTGAAAAGCAGAAAGTACTTTTCCTGTTTTGATGATTTTTCTCTTGCTTCTGCCGTGGCGACACCTAGGCCCTTGTTTTGGTGATCTTTCTTTCTCTTGTTTCTGCAGCGGAGACACCTATATCCTTCTTTGACTTTGTGGTAGATCCCCATTCGTTCCCCCGCACCGTAGAGAACATCTTTCACGTTTCCTTCATTATAAGGGTAAGGTCTGAGGCTGTTTTGTGTCCCTATACTTTTAAAAGGATAAATAGCAAAAGCTACTGGTGAAACTATTTGTGCTAACAGGTCTGTATTTCAGACTGTGTTGCAAAACATTAATTGGCATGTAGGCAGAAGAAACTGGGCAAGATGTGCGTGCGTGTGTCTACATTTAGAAGCTATTTAGAGAGAGAATTGGCAGCATTTGCGTATGGGACTACATGCTAGGCAGCAACATGCTGGCTGCCCTGTTGCTAGGGGCTGCTGAGTTTCACTCAGCAATCCCATATGACAAAGTGAAATTGCTCCATAGGGCATGGGAGGCTCTTCTTTTTATAAAAGTGGATCTCCAGTCTTTCTCCTATGGAACTGCTGGGTGAGTGTACAGTCTAGCTTCAAGTTGGTAGCTGAGCTGCCTATCTGTTGTGCCACCAAGGCTCATCATAGGGTGAAATGTTGATAGTTTCATGTTAGGTAAGAAATGCCTGCTGAAGTCTTAGGGGAAGAGGAGCAGGCCCCTGGGGACTGACTCCCACATGCTCACAGAATAGACTCACCTGCGAGATGGTGATATGGTAAATATGGCAAAGGGGTGGGTGACCTTTAAGACCAGCCATACAGCCCTTTAAGTGTGAAATAATTTCAAAACGAAGGTTTAATAGAAAACGATTCCAAAATGTACAATGGGAATCAGCTTTAGACTCTCTGTAGTTTTCAATCAGGTTACATTTTTGGGTGTGTTAGATCAAAGCTTCTTAAATTGTGGGTCTCCACCCTAAAAGTGGGGAATCTCGAAGAGTCCGGCCACAGTAAGAGGTCTCTGAACTCAGTGACCAACCATTAAGTCAAAATCTAACACGTCATGATTGCAGGTATTTCTGACAGTGCTTGCCCATGTCACAAATTTCTCAGGTGAAAAGGAGTTGAGAATGGAAAAGGTTTAAAAAACTGTGTTAAATCACTTTGATTTTAACCTTAGATAAAACTCTTCAACAATGTTCATTATTCAACAATGTTAACAGAGGGCTACTCTATCAAGGGCAAATGAGCACAGTATGTTTCATAAAATGTTTAGGATCCCAAATCAAACGGGTGAGTGTGAATCAGTGAGAGAGGCCAGCTGGTTACTTTGACTTAATAAGCTGTGCTGTTGAGTCGGGCAGGGCACGGATGGATGGATAAGACAGACAAAGGGAAACCAAACCAAACCTTGCCGGTGAGCTGACTGACTCAGCAACTCTGAGCCCGGCCTGAGTGAGAACTGCTCCATGTGGCAGTCTGTCTGTCTGCTGGTTTGAAACTGGCTGTGGTTGTCACAAAGAATTGAGGTCAGTTTCAACTTTACATTTCCTCCTTTTATAACCGCGGAGACCAGTGCTTGGGTTTGAAGGGAGGAATCTGGAGGCTGTTTAAGGCTCTGACCCTTCTCTCTTTTTTCAACTTTAAGTTTTTTCACGGAGCCAGGATGGTGTAGCGGGTTACCCATTGGCCTGCTGACTGCAAGGTCACGAACTGCTCTGAGGGAGAAAGACTAGGCTTTCTACTGCACTGAAGAAGAGTTACATAATCAAAAGAATTATAGTGTTAGAAGGTGTGTTAGTCTGGGTAGACCAGAGAAACAAAGCCAGGGAGACCCATATGTGTACAGGAAAGAGCTTTATATACAAGAGCAATTGAATATTGATGCAACATCCGAGCCCAGATCAGTCCCCAAGTCCGATATTAGCCAAAATGTCCAATACCAATCTATAAAGTCTAAAGTCCTCTTTAGACTCACAAAACACACGTAATGATGCCAAGTGCAGGAAGGTCAGAGGCCAGTGGGTTGGAAGTCTTGTGGATCCAGTGGCTTTATAAGCATCTCAGCACTGGCAGGGTCTCCACATGGTTCTTTCAGCTATAAGACTCTTACTGCCTCAGGGTGGCTTCACCTCAGAATTGTCTCGCAGGGAGTAAGCCTTGTCAGTAAAGTCTCCAAGGGAGTGAGCATAGAGAGTCTGCCCTCTAAGGAGGAACTACAGGAGTTCCCAGAATCAAGAGAGGGCCACGCCCACACAGAGGGCCCATTGTCTATATCCCCACTGACAGGGCAGACTCCACCCCTACATTCTCAATCCTCAAATTGACACCAGGTTACGCAGCTACCACAGAAGGCAACAGGGGCACTTCTGCCCTAATCTACAGTTTCTACAGGTTGCTTGAGTTGGAATTGACTTGATGGCAGTGAGTTGGGTTTTCGGTCTAAACCTTACAGTTGCCCTGTGTAAGAAAAAGACATTGTAAGAAGGCTCGTCTTACTGTTTGTCTCCATGCTACTGTTATGGCTCCTTTTGAGTGCCTGATACTGCATTTCTGGTTTTGTTGGGTTTTTTTAATCTTAAAAATGTATAGGATTTGAATCCAGGTTTAGTTCTTGACTTAAAATCATGTTTGTATTTTAGGATGGCTTTGCAAGAATAAGACTCGACCAAGATCGGCTGCCAATCATAGGTAAGTAGGCATGTGTTCAGAAAAATGTTTTCCAAGAAATTCTGTCATTAGTTTATGAGATTACTAGGTATATATGAGTTTAAAAAGAGACTGTATTCTGCTGGGTACAAGTTTACACAGTAAACTAAGTTCTCATTGAATGATTTCTGGGGGTAAGGGGAAACTTCAAAGAGCTCGTAGAAAGAAATGGTATTAAAAGACAATAGAGGGAAGCGGGGAGGGAGGGAATAAACACGAGGAGCAGATTCCAGGGGCTTAAGTGGAGAACAAATGTGTTGAGACTGATGAGGGCAATGAATATACAAATGTACTTTACACAATTGATGTGTGTATGGATTGTAAGAGCCCCCGATAAAATGATTTAAAAAAAAACCCCAAAAACAGACACAGGGAGAGCTATCAGGTACGCCCAGCCCAAAATGTTAAAAGCATAGATGATCTTTTCTCCTGTCCCACAGAGAAAGGGAAGCCTCCCCTAGAGCTAGTGCTCTGAATTCAGAATTCCAGTCTCCTGTGAGAGAATAAACTTATTTGTTAAAGCCAAAAAAAAAAGACATTGGGAACCATGGTTTGTCTTTAAACAGCTTTGTTAGGACATATTCCGCACCTCACACAACTTGCTTGGTGCTTCAGGTGGCAGGGTTTTTCATGACGTGAAAGCCCCCTCGTGTTGGTCCGTGACCGTCGTAATAATTTCCTCAGATTTCTCATTTTCTTTCTAGTTGTTTCACTTCCAGTAGTCTAGCTCCCCTGGTCCCCTGACCGTCTCGCCTTTACTTTAGGGATGGGGTCACTGTTTGTGACCACCGATGTTTGTTTGGTTTGGTTTGGGTTTTTGGTCTCACAACGATCAATAAGAGGTCTGATGGGTAAGGGATGTACGTGAGTTGTCTTTGTAGGTAGCAGACTTTTATGTGGGCGTGTCTTTCCCAACTAACTGAAAACCCTGGAAGCCTGACCATAGTGGATTGAGCTGTATCACGAATTCAGTATCGACGTAGTCAATACTATCAAGGATTTCCTCAGATTCCAACTCAGACTCATTTCTGCCATCGAAGCAGTCCCGGCTCATCCTAACCCTTAGAAGAGTAATTTGTGATCATTTTTTGACATTTCCTTCTTTCTTCCTGCTGTTCCCCTGGTTCCACCCCCCCACCCCCAGGGTCTAGAAGTTTTTCCTTCCTACTTCATTCACTTCACACCCACCTCCGGGATCTGCAGAGAAAAGAGTACTTGCCTGTACTTCGTTGCTGCTCTAAACTTGCTCGATTTTCTATTTCACTCCTGGAGCTGTGCTCTGTGCTCGGGTACAAAGACAGGCAGAGGTTTCTAACTGACCTGTGTTTCTTTTGGTTTGATAGAAAGGAGAAGCTGGGGCTGCTTGCTTTGTAACAACTTAGTAATAGCTTAACAAGGCACAGGGGCTCCCTTGCAGGTCAGAGGGTGAGATTTCTCCTCCGTGGCCCCTGGTGCCCGCTCTGGGTTCAGACACTCTTGGCTCTGTGGACTCTTTTACGATCCCCTGAAGCAGCCATTTTCAATTGCGAACTTTCCCACGGCACACGGCACACGGCCTTGCACGTGTTCCAGGGATAGCGTGTACTTTCTGAGATTATAATACCCGAAACTTCCCTTTCCTTCCTAAAAGTTACTTGGGTTACCAAAGTGCTTCTGCCACGTGAATGCTTTCAGCACTGAGAGGAAAGACTGAGGCAAACCATCCCAGAAACCTAACAGCCGCATCTGGAATTAGGATGGACTGACCTGCCACCAATCATGCATTTGTGACAGTTCCCCTTTGTCCCATGCCTTATTTAACTAGTGTGCCGACGGTGAGCCTCAGCCGCCATAATGTCCTTGTCTCCTTTAAAACAGAATACATGGTCTCCTTAAGGAAGAAGAATAATGCAGAGTCTCCAGTACAGGGTGCTTCAAAAAGCTGGTAGAAAGTGGAATTGAAAAGTTGAATTGAATTTTCTCACAAACTTCTTGAAGCCAACTTGTATATGCTGTTAAAAGAACCCTTGGGTCCTTGCGCAGCGGCGAAGCACTCAGCTGCCACCTGCCAACTGCCGACCCACCAGCTGTTGCTTAGGACAACGATTCAACCCTCGGCTTCTGTAATGGTGGCGGCTTTGGGAACCCCATGAGGCTACTCGGTCCAACATGTAAGGGCGCTGTGCATTGGACTCCGCACAAGGGTACACCGCCACCATGCTTATGAATAAGTACAGGCTCCTCCCTGTGTAGTGGTGGTTATGCATTGGGCTGTTAACCATAGGGTCAGCAGTTCAAAACCACCAGCTGCTCTGCAGTAACCACAGGGCTTTCTATTCCCGTAACGAGTTACAGTCTCAGAAACTCACAGGGGCAGTTCTAGCTGGTCCTCCAGGATCACTACCAGTCTGCATGGACTCCCTTGCAGCGAGTTGCGTTTGGCTGAGTCCTTCCTGTTACCCATCCCTTTCTGTTTGAATTGATGTGGTAACCCTTTGCTAACTTGGTCTTTCAGAGCCTGTTAACATGAATGAAGAACACGAGAGCATTGACCATAGCACCCAAAATCGGAACCAAGGAATTATCTCTCTGAGTTACCGGGACTGGGAGGTAAAAAGCCTATGCGGCACATGCCAGTTCTGACCCGTTCTCCAGAGCCTGACTCCTCGCCTGAATCCCTCTGTCTTCTCCACCAGGAGATTGTGAAGACCTTCGAGATTTCTGAGCCTGTGATTGCCTCAAGTCTGAGCCAGCGGAGTCAGAGTGCCTGAGGCCGGCCCTAGGCACCCCTCCCTGCGGGTGCGCCATTCATCTAAGTATTCTCCCACCTGCCACTCTAGCAAGCTGGGTTTTGCCACCCTCCAGTGCCCCGTGCTTAGCTGCCGAGCGTGGTGGTAGCTGAGGAGAAAGACTCAGGCCAAGGCCATGATGACAAGCCCCCCTCCTGGGACTTGTCACGTTGGTGTTCTTGCGATTTGCACCAGAACGAGACCCCACAGGTCTCTTTGATCTCATGGGCTTGGAGCCCCTTCCCAGCCCCCAAATTCACTGATATATTAGCTGTTTTGTTCACAGTGGACTTGCTTAATGCATAGCTACAGAGCAGAAAAGGGGCCACAGAGGCTAGTCAAAGTGTTTCTGAAATTGGAGTTGTGCTGCGGGAGCGTCTTCATCTGGGTGAAGGGAACCCCGTCTGGGGAGAAGTCTGGCACTCCCTGATGCACACGGCTGGGGTGTGGGTCAGGAGACCCGGATCTAGTGGCCATTCTCCCTTGGACCTAAGACATGGGAAGACTAGATATGTGGTATTTTTACCCTGCGTCTGCTGTACATGCGCCAATAGTTACCACCCCCTTCCCTGATGGAATTTCCCAGAGCACCATTGTGCCAATTTTTAAAAAAATGTGGTTATTCAAAACAATAGCTTAGCTCCTTTAGAAAAAAAATCTAGGGGCAGGGGGAGGGAGCTATTGGGAAACAAACACAGAAGGTTCGCGTTGTGAGCTGAGGCTAAAAGAGGTCCTGCTTACCGAGGAGGGGTGGCAGTTTGCTTGTATCTGTGTCTATTAAGTGAGCGCTGTCATCTATAAACTAACTCTGGTGGAGAATTGCACACCGCAAAGCAGCATGTATTGTATATATGTATTATTCAACATTCTAAAAGACTTAGTTTTTAGTAAAATGTAACTTTTGATAGTGAATTTGTCATGGCTGTCTTTTGATTAAAGGAAATTCTCTGCAATAGTCACAGTACTTCCTCGTTTTTTGACTGGGGTCGGGATCCCTCTCCTCGCCCCAATCCTGCTCCCATTGAGAGTTCTAAGTATTCAGGTGGTTAATGGCCTAGTGGGTCAGGATGGCCCTTTCCTCATTTGTTCACAGTGAGAGCTGGTGGCGCTTTGGGTCAGGTGTTTGGCTGCTAACTTGCAAGGCTGGTTGTTCAAGCCCACCAGCTACTCCTGGGGAGAACAAGAAGGCTGTCTGCTCCCTTAAACTGAAAGCCTCAGAAACCCTAAGAGTCTGGGTCAACGTGATGGTAGGACATTTGGTTTTTCACTTTTCTTTTAGCTGCAAGTTAGTCAAGATAACAATGAAGTTGTTTTTTAACCTTTCCTCCCTCGGGCATTTGTCCCGCCTCTTGAATCCCCTTGTGCAGCTTGGGACACTGGGGACATAGTGTCTACATTTATTTATTTACTTTCTCTCAACCCCGTTAGATCCGCTTAGAAACAGGGCTATAAGGCTTAACTGTATGAGTAACCGGGGGAAGTCAGCTAAAATGAAAAGGGAATGGAAGTCATTTAACGTGAAAATAATTTAAACTTTATATTTTTTGAGTTGACTTTTCAGAAATGGCGGTATGCTCAGGAACTCCCTGGGGGGTGGCTTCACCATGGTCGGCGGCGTTTTGGCCTTTTCCACCAGCATGGTTACGTGGATCTGCGCCTCCGCGCCCGGGGCAGGCTGGAGGATGGGGTAGGCCTTGACCCATTCAAACTCTGCCTCGTCGCTCTCTGGAGATGGCGATTTCCTGCGGGGGGGCGCTGGCTTCCAGAGGTCCTCCGCATCCTTCCTTTGTCCCTTGAGCGCTCGCCCTCGGACCATTCGGTCTTGGTGACCCTGGATCTGCCCCTCTGCCCACGAGGCCTTGGGCGTTTCTGGTCTCCCCTTGGAGGAGGCTCTGGGCCGGCTTTCGCCGGCTGCTCCCTCCTCGGCCAGCGTCCCTCTTTTGGGGAGATCTGGCCTGGAGGGGAGCCCCTGCGGGAGCAGGCGGGGCTTGGGGTCCGGGAGGCCCCTGGCGCGCTCGGCGCGGAAGAGGTGCTTCCGGATGTGGTGCAGCTCCCTGGGGGGCACCAGGTAGTCCCAGTCGCCGCGGGCAGTCGTTTCCCGCGGCGCTCTCCCCCGCTGCGCGGCCGCCGCGTCCCGGGGCGCGGCCAGGCGGCGTGTCCACTCCCGCGCCAGCATTTCTACGTAGCGCTGGTGGTAGAAGGACTCCACTTGGGCAAACCGGAAGTCAAAGGACAGGGCCTGGAGCCGACGGAGCGTTTGGTTTTCCGTTTGGAACTCGCGGGCCAGCAGTTTCCTCCCTCCCGAAGACTGGACACCACCTAAACGCTTGTCAGGGGCAGACGTTAGAGCGGCTTTAGGCTGGTTGACCGCGGGCGCAGTTTCACGCGCTGGGCCCCAGGGGGCGGTCGGCCAGCCTGGCACACTCCCCACCCAGCGGCCCGCAGCGGCCACTCCGCCCTCTACGAGCCCACCTCCAGTTGGAGACCTTGCCTTGGCGGCGCTTGGAGGATCGACCTCCTCTTCCCATCGCTACGACAGCCGTCTTCCTTCTACCCCAGCCTCGGCCTTCCCACCTTCACCAGGGTTACAACGGACACGGCCACCCTGCCCTCGCCCCCTCTCCATCGTCCCTTCTGCTGCAGAGAGCACGCGCCATGGCCGCCGCCGCTGAACGGCCCTTACCGCCGTCTCCACGTCGGCCCCCGGGTCAGCCTCCTTTCTAGGCGGCTTTGGCTGTGGTCACCTCACTGGTCCCTTTCACCTTTACTTTCCTGTCCTCTCAGCCGGGTGCCCTCCCGACCCTGCCCCAGCACATCTCCAGCTTCTACACGCCCGGCCAACAGTGACCTCTGCAGGCCACATCCAGTGGCTCACTCTGCCCCTACCACACTGGACGTGGCCACCTTCTCCCGCGATGGCCCGCGGCCAGACCAGCCCAGCCACATTCGTCTTCCACCACGTGGCCACATCTCCCTCAGCCGGATCTGCCTTTTCAAGGTGCTGCAGGATGATGGAGCAGAGGCCAAGGCCAGCCACATTCTCCGGACATGGTCTTGGCCATCCCGCAGGGTACTAGTGCTGCCCTAGAGCCTGGGACCATGAGGACGAGACAGACAAGGCCCCCGTGCTACCTGCCCTCCTCTCAGCTGGGACCTGGATCCTGCCTACTTTCATCTCTACTTGTTCTTCCTCTTCTTTCCCAGTTCGGCCCAGTCTGCCTCAGTTCCACTGGCTTCACATTAGCCTGCTGGCCCAGCGGAGCTCCAAAAGACCAAACTTGTTGCCATCAAGAGATTCTCACAGCCACCCTATGGGACCAGGTGGAACTGTGCCTGTGGGTTTCCAGACTGTAACACTTTATAGGAACAGAAAGCTTCGTGTTTCTCCTATAGAATGGCTGTTGGTTTTGAACCGATGACCTAGTGGTCAGCACCTAAACACCTGACCCTGTATGCAGGCAGGGCACCTGATGGCCCCCGGCTAGTGTCCTCCTGCCCACCAGGACTGTCACACTGCAAGCAGAGCATTGGGTGGATTTAGTGATGTCCATGGGAGTGATATGGATTGCTTCATGTTGGACAGCTGCTGTCAATGCACCCCACCGTTCACAGAAACTCAGCATCTCCTTGCAAACACACAAGGATCTTGCCAGGACATAAACCTGCGCAAAGCCCTGGACTAGAGTCCCGCTGCTCCCGCCAGAGCCATACCTGCTTGCTGATTTTGTGCCAGCCACACCGGCATTTCTGTACCTCAGAAACTTTGAGCTCTTGTCACATGAAAGCTGTACTTTTGCATGTTCTTCCCATAAGGAGCCCTGCTGGTACCATGGTACGGTGCTGGACAGCTAACCACAAGGTGAGCAGCTCAAACCCACCAGCCGCTCTTGGGAGCAAGAAGATGCCGTCTGTCCCTGTAAAGGTTTAGAGTGCCTCGGACATACCATGGGTGGTTCTGCTCTGCCCTGAAGGGTTCCTGGGAATTGGATTCAGCTTGACAGCAGTGGGTGTGGTTTGAGTTCCTCTGGTTGCTCCCAGACACAATGGCAGCTCTGGCTGCCACCCTCGCACTGGTAGGTTTCAGCTTAAATGTCACTTCCTTGGGCCATTGCATAAGCTGTCATACAAACCCATCCTTTTGTGACACTTAACTGCTGTTCATGTGTGCAGATGGTGGGTGAAATGTCAACTTCCCTTGCTAGACCAAGCCCCACACAAGTGAGCGGGGGTGGATTTTGTTCATCGCTGTCCAGCCAATGCCGGGCGATGTCAGGAGCCAAGAGCTGAACTGGACAGGCGTACCAGGCCAGCCCTTTCCCTTTGAGCCCCTTTCCATCACCCTGTGACCAGCTTCAGGTTGCTTGGGCAGCGTTCTTCCTCACCTGGATCTTCTTTTCCAGTGGGGACTGAGAGCCCATTGCGATCCGAGAGTCTTGAGTATATCTGGCCCAGGCCAACCTGGAAAAGAGGAAAAAGAGAAATTAGACTGGGATGTGGTGATAGGCTTCTGGGAACTTCCAGTAATGGACTGTATTGGGGATCCACTTCCTGTTGTAGCAGGAAGTGTTTCTCTGGGCAGACAGGGCTCTCCCCTGACCCTTCCAGAGCAAGAAATGAAGAGAAATCCACAGGATGACGCAGTCAGAAGCATCTTTCTTTTAACCCTGAAGAAAGGAAACTCAAGTTGCTGCCTCAAATATCACAGGCCACTGTTCTTTTGTTTTTGAAACAGCATGGTGCATTGGGTGAAGGCTTGCGGAGTCGATCCATCAAACATTTAACAAAGCGTACACATTTTGGTTGGTCTCCTTAATTGTCCCGTCAGCCCACTTCCACCACGTGTTTCCTGCATCCACCCCGCCTCTTAACTCTTCTGAATTTTGTCTGGGTAAATGATGCCCCTCTGATCTCACGGGGTTGCTTATTCTAAGGCGTGTGTGCCTGAGGTGTTTTGTTCTGATAGACCTGGTATTGTTTGGCAAAAGATGGAGGCACAGGGTGAGCTCTATCCAATTCATCTCTGTCCAACCAGTAAGCCTGATCTCAGTTGTGGTTTTGAGTTTTGTTCTATATTTTCCTTCTCCTCTCTCCTGGGCTTTCTAACATGATTCCTTGGAGAACGGTTGGTGGTGACATTCGGGTACAAAGGTACAGTCCCTTTCTTCTGGTCTCAGGGTTGTGGAGACTGCTCCTGTGGTCGACCAGTCCATTGGATGAATTGTTTCCATGTGTCCTCACACTTCACTACTTTTCCTCCAGGCGGCCAAAGAGCAGCGTTGCACTGGTCACAAGCTTTGAAGACAGACTCCAGTTGCTACTCACCAGAGTAGGATGTAGAGCCTTGTGGACTTTCTTATGAGGGTTGACCTTGGGGTCCCTGAAACAATGGTCCTGAACCCCCAGGTCCAGCGGGGCATATCTTCTCAGCCCAGTTCAGCCTGCATGCCTATCCAGGTATCCCCCACAGATGACCGCTACTGCAGGATTGCCTATATAAAGAAGTATTGCCCTCTGTGGTCTTGGACTCATGCCCTCCTCTCCAGCCTCCAGCAGGGTTGGCTGGCTTCCTCTTTATTGGATGTTGCCTTCCCTTGCCCCCAGAGTAACAGGTGTCTGTTAGCCAGTGGCTTACTCTCTTCTTTCTTCCCAGCCCTGGAAACTATCAAAGACCATTTCTTTTCTGGACTTTTTACAATCATGGCTCTCATGCACATCTACCCTTTTTTGTGAGGGCTAATGTAATCAGTTACTTTTTCACACTGCGCAGCACCCCATTGTGTCTGTTTCGCCTGTTGGTCCACCTTGAGCATCCCTTCTGAGTAGTGCTGCGATGAATGCAGGGTGGGAAGAGAGCTCTGTGTCATGGCTCTTAGTTCTCCAGAATATATACCAAGTAGAGAGACCGCTGGCTCATGTGGAATTTGTTTCCGACTTTGAGGAAGCACCAAACCACTT